CGGTTCGATCCCCCAGCACCACATGCCAGCCAGCCCCGCCCCCTGGTGGGCTGAGCTGGCCACACACACACACACACACACACACAATAAATAAATGTAAAAAATAAAATAAACAGTGGAATATATTTTAAAAAAATGTATTTAGTACAGGGTCTATAGGATCTCACTATACAGATTGGATTTGTAATGATCCTACTGTTTTCAGCCTCCCAAGCGCTGGGATTACAGGGATGCGCCACCACACCCAGTCTCAACTGCTATCTCAGTCTCAATGAGCCCCGCCCGGGTCCTGTATCTGCTTAAGCAGGTGCTTTAATCCACTGAGCTATCCGTTGAGCAATCTGGCCGGGCCCCCTAGAAGTTAGTTTTTGTTTGCCTAAATGTATCTCTGAAAACAATAGAAAAATACATATATCTCAGTCATCCTACTCTACAAAGAAAATAGGTATTTTACTTCTCCTTTCCCTTCGTTAATCTCTTCTTTATCTATTTAGAAGACCTGGGGCTGGGGAGATAGCTCAGTAGAATAAGCACTTGTCTGGCAAGCACAAGGACCTGAGTTCAATCCCCGGTTCTACCCTCCCCCCTAAAAAAAAGACCCTAGTTTTTGGAATCAGAAAGTGGCCACAGCAAAAATATCTTGCCTTTTTCAGTGACAAACGTATTGTCTCCAGGGATAAGTCAGGAACTGGGTGGACCTCAGGCATGAGAGTACTGGGTTGTCTGGAGAGCATCAATACTAACTGCAGAAATGGCTGGAAGGCCAGCTAGGTAGCTCAGCAGACTAAAGTGCTTCCTTAGGCAGATGCAAGGACCACATTTTGATTCCTGGTGTGCGCAGCTGGCCTGTCCCTGGGGCACACTGTGCCATGACTCAAACAGGGCGTGGTGGTTCCGCTCCTGTAATTCCAGAGCTTGGGAAGCTGAAAACAGGAGAAGCACTGAGTCCGATCTGTGTAGACAGACCCTGTAGACCCTGTACTAAATACATAAAATAGAAATAAAAAAGCAGAAATGGCTGGGGAGTTGTCCCAAAAAAAAGAAACACTGATCATCTGGAACTTATTAAGAGGTGAGCTTTTAGATAAGGGAAGAGCCACACAGTCATCTTTTCTAATCTCTGCTGGATCTGCAAAGCTCATTTAATTCTGGGATTTATGAATCAATGCTGAACGGAATACGTTTAGGAAAGCAATGTAATAGAAGCTGTGGCCATTCTTCCCAAAGCCTTTTTCTCTGTCTAGAGGACACGGTAATACTTGGCCACACTGCTGTGTGACATGCTATGAATCTGGGAAGACACAGGCCTATCAGGAAGAAGCTTTTCTTCCACTTAGCAAAGTAGGAAGAACAGAAGCATGCAGTAGAAGCACCAAGCACACAAGACCAAGATGAAAAGAGTGTTAAATGTGCACAAGAAAATGAATTACTACTCTTTTTTTTCTTCGGAACTGGGGATTGAACTCAGGCCCTTGCACTTGCCAGGCAAGCACTTATTCTACTCAGCTATCTCCCCAACCCCTGAATTACTACTCTTGCTGTCAACTGCATGACAGGCCAGCAAGTAAGCTTGTTTAGTCCCATGTTATAGATAATGGTACTGAAAAGGCTCTTTAGACACCACTGTGATACTGCTTTTAAAATGAGGACAAGGGCTGGCCAAATAGCTCAGTGGATTAAAGTGCCTGTAAGCAGGTGCAGGGGCTCGGGGTTCGATCCCAGGGCCTGCCGTACTGGCCCCGCCCCCAGGGGGCACTGAGAACAATTGAGACTGGGCATGATGGCACACGTCTATTATCCCAGCCCTTGGGAGGCTGTAAACAGGCGGATCACTACGAGTCTAGTAGTGAGACCCTGAATGGGTACCCTGTAGACCCTTCCCTAAAATTTTAAAAAAGAAGAGTACAGAAGATCCAGGCATGGAGGCACATGCCTATAATGGCATTTGGGAGACTGAGGCAGGAGGTTCTCTGTGAGTTTGAAGCCTGAATGGGCTGCATAGTGAGTTCAAGACCAGTTGAACCATAAGTGAGACCCTGTCTCAACCAAAACAAAACAATTTAATAAAGAAGAGAAGATAGAACTGGAATAAGAAGAAATGTACTCGAGTTATTTCCCTTTCAAATGCTTTCTACTCATCCAGAGTAGCTGTCATGTCCCCCTCCTTCCCACCTTCAAATAATTTGCTTTTATTTTTTTAAAAAAGCTCTGTATCGGGCCGGGGAGATGGCTCAGTGGAATAAGCGCTTCCCTGGAAAGTGCAAGGGCCAGAGTTCAATCCCCGATTCTGCCAAAAAAAAAAAAAAAAAAAAGCTCTGTATCATTTGCAAAAGATTTTTCTTCTACAACAGAAAGACTCTATTGTACTAATGTCTTCAAAATAAACAAATCAATGTAGGCATTACCCATATGACGGTAATCCCTGCACCCTGAGGCAAGGACTACAAATTTCAGCCCAGTGGAACTGCCTGAAAATAGGAATTTTTTTAAAGAACAAAATGGTTAAAAAAAAAAGTGGAGATGTAGCTCTGTGGAAAGACCCTGGTTTCAATCCCTAGCACTACAAAAATTAACAACCCGTATACAGATCTGGTGGTATCAACATATATTTGTCCTTTTGGGACAGGGTCTTGCTATGCAGTTCAGGCTGGCCTTGAGCTCACCTTGTAACCCAGGATGATCCCAAACTTGCAATGATCCTCCTTCCTCAGTCTTTGGAATGCTGGGATTACAGACTGCACCACCATGCCCAGTGTCTGATGGTATCAATATTAAAACTCAAAATCCTATTTGGTTCTAAGGAATAACAACTCAATAACTGGACCCAAGGAAGCCCCAAAACTCATAGTGATCCTCCTGCCTCAGCCTCCTGAGGATTACTGGGTTGCATCACCAAACCTGGTTTCCAGTAGAATACTTTTAAGAGATAGCTCAATCTCAGCTCTGGGGAGGCTGAGGCAGGAGAATCACTATGTGTCTGAACTGCATAGTGAGACCCTGTACCAAACAAATAAATAATTTAAAAAAGACTTAGTTTACTGTCTCTAAAAATACATTAGAGCTGCCTTTTAGTATTCTATGATTACTATTATAAATCACTTCTAGAAACCACATAAGTGGGATGTCAGCAATGAAAAAAACGTAGAAAAGGTTGTGTCCCAATATTTCAAATATGATTTATTTGTACTACATTTTTAAGAGTGGCCTCCATTCCCTTTACAGAAGACAAGGCCAGGGAGATAGCTCAACAGCATAAGTGCAGGCCTGGCAAGTGCAAGGTCTTGGGTTTGATCCTCAGTACCAAAAAACACCAAAACAAGGTTTATGGAAGACAAGGATATAAGAGAAGAACTGGTAATACAGCAGTAATTGGCATTACTGAGG